CGTGAGTCAAAAACTTTTATTAGCTAACTTTTCTATTTAAACAAATAAGTGAGGAAAACAGTTTTTTCACTTTGCAGGGAAAACCATCAATTTTAGCGAAAAGTGACTCGCAGACAGCTTGTAGGGAGTAAAATTATCTACAAAATGAGACTTGTTAAATTAAAATCGGTTAATAAACAAACAAGTTATTACAAAAAAACAAGAAAAGTGCCCATTTTTTAATTTCTTTATAACCATCGCATTTATTGTTAAAATTTTATAAAACCTATGACAAGTTGAGGCTTTTGTCATACTTTAAAAGTGTGGCAAAAGTGGGTGCTGTAGGTGAAATAAGTTTCGCACAATTCAATTTGTTTATAACGAAGGCTTCAAAAGTTATGAACTATAAGCGTCTGTACAAGCGTTAATTTTCAACCAAACATGATTCTGAAAGCGTCATTGTAATCTTAAAGACGTAATTAAGCGACCTATTAAAAAATATCACCGTTTTTTTGACATTAACATTTTCAAATTGTGCATTAAAAAATCCTCCGTTTTTCGCTTATAAACAACTTGAATAAAATTGTTGCTATTTATGCTACCTCATCGAGAATAGATACAATGAATAGCTGGCAAAAAAAATACAAATTAAAAAAAAGCGCCTTCTACGACCAACAGGAGCCAAGATAAAGAATTTTTTTTTTAAATCGTAGCGTAATTGTTTATAAACATGAAGACTTGAATTTTTCGCAAAATAAACTTTACGACGTAAACCACGATTTACCGTGAATTGCATTGAAAAATGTGGAAAATTAACGACTCACGAGCCCTTTAAAGAGAAGGTACTCGCTAAGTAAACTGTCCAGCGCCAGCGTGGTGATGGGGGAAGTTCGTCCAAGCAAGCCGCGCGCGCGAGTAAAGTGGAATTCAAAGTTTAAATTGATACGCGCTGTAAATTTTGCAATATTTCGTCTTCTATTCATCGTAGAAACTTCTTTTATTTTAAACTGGGGTAGCTCGACGAAAAAATAACAATGGCCATATTTACGAATTCGTAGAATAGCCCTGAACCCCCGAAAAAATGCATCTTTTATAATTAATTTTTTTTAATTTACAAAAATGTCACAAATTATTGTTAAAAGAAATATTAATTAAAATTTCAATTTCGGAATTATTTTACTATTATTAAANAATTAAGTTGGACTTTACACCTAACAAAGTAGGATGTGCAAAACAGCGTTATAAACAAATTGTCCCAGGGTCAGGCAAAAGCCGCTCGGGAATTCACTCTTTTGGTAAAAAAGAGAAATTACCTACGCCTGTTTGTTCCCAAGATGCACATTCATTGCACAGAATTTCCTTAGTCGTGTAAACCGCAATGTTTTACTTGACCTTGTTCAATCTTTATTAAATTGTGTGGTGTTACAGGTTCAGGCACTGCATTTAAAAAAAAATTCTAATACCTTGCATCGCCGTGAACTTCTCCGCCAGCCACATCTCCTCCTCCCTCGTCAGGGTGAAATTCATCCAGGCGTTTTCGATGTCGGTTAGCAGCTGAAGCATCCACCGCGGATCTAGGGGGTACTTCAGATAGATACGGGCGGCGGCCACGAACCGCGCCAGTGCCGTCTGGAGCTCTGTCAAGTCTCCTGAAACACACGTCTGTTGGTCTAAAGCGGTTCACTCGACGTCGCTTCACTTGAGGTGTACGTGTTTCATAATTAATTTGCCAAACTTAAAATTTGAATACGTATACCAGCCAGCTTGTAAATATTATAAATGTAGATTCTACTTGACCTGAACATGTGTAAAGCAAGGAAATACAAATTTTATTAACACACCAGGAAAATTAGCGAAAATAAAAGAGAAACTCGAAAAAAGTCCTTTCCGCGAGATTATTGTAAAATTGTCGTCTAAAGGAACATAATACAAGACATCTCTCATCTCGTGATTCAAAAACTTTTATTAGCAAACTTTTCTATTTAAACAAATAAGTGAGGAAAATAGTTTTTTCACGAATGTATAAATCATTACCATTAAAAATACTTTACAGCACTACACTTTGTCTAAACTAACAGATAAAGAGGTCTTTTTTAAATATGCAACAATTTATTTTTTATTGTTTTTGATAATTCTTCAAAATATGCCAATAATATTATCACTGGTATCCAGCCGTCTGCCAATATAATTCATTATAATTATTGTTTATATCACAAGAGGCATAACGTTAAATATATAAGCCAGGTTATCGAAAGTAAATGAAGGTGGTATTGTGGCCTAAAGCGTTACGCGTTGTCCTACTAATCTGAAGGTTCGGGGTTCGATCCCTGATGAGGTCTGGTTTTTTTTCAATTAATATAATATTTCGAATGTAATTTTCTATCGTCCACATTTCAAGACAAATATTTCCGCACCAATTGCTAGTCACGAAGCAAATAATTTCTCACAGTGTTGCCAAATATCTGCTGATTCGAGGCGCGCTAGATTGCTTGTTAAATTCTGCCAGAAAATCGTGAAATATTAAATACAGATAACTAGGTTAGTCCAGGCGGTGTGTGTATCGGGTTGGGTAAAACGCATATGATCGGAGATTTTTGCTTTAACGGCTAAATAACATCAGAAATGATAATTTTTCTATGCAAATAAAATAAAACGTGGGCTTAATTTTTAATGCAATAAAGTATAAAAAAATTGCAAAAAAATTAATTTTTTTCTTGGATTTCTCGGCGACAACTTAGCAACTATTCATTTTAGACAAAAATGGAAGAGGAAAAAAAGTTTTGTAATTAAATTTTGATCAAGATAGAGTTAGTTGCAATTCGAAAAAATAATTATTGTTATTGCAAAAATCGGAAAATCATTTGAAAAATTGCAAAAAATGCTAGTTTATTTGTCAATTTATTTCAGACACTTGAATAATACCTAGGATCTTCATACTTTTCCCAATTAAACTTCTTAGTGCATAGAATCATCACACCAAAATTCATCCAATTCGGTTTGATAGTTTTTACATA